CATTTCTGGTGTCCCCCGCCGTGATATTGCTGGAATATTGCTAAAAGCGGCGTAAAACCATACTCACTCACTCACTCATTATCCCGGAGAAGGGGGGCGGATGATGTTTCCACCAAGCAAATGGCCATCCCTTAGAGTGGACAGGGTCCAGGGATTGGATGTGACTGTCTCCCATTCCTGCAGGAATAGAGCCAGTCGGCCGCCTACGGGGACATCCGGCTTGAGGCAGTGGACCCCGGCTTGAGGCAGTTCGATAACAGCTACGAATAGCGTCCCTCGCAAGATGACTATGTACCTCTGTAAGTTGCGCGGCCAACTCCGAAGAGTCGGCCGGCCCCTCTCCCGCTAACTCCCTCTGTACGGCCAATAGATATGCGGAGTGTACGGACACCAGGAGCTGCTGACATGCGTTACGATATTGCTCCTCGAAGCAAAAGTAAGCAGCCTTCAGCTCCATACCGCACACGGGAAAGGGTGGCAACAGCCGGCTCTGCTTGACCTTAGCCAAGTTGGGGGTCAAAGACCCCCCCAGGGTAACGGAGGTCCAGACGCATTCGTCCACCACCGGTACCTCAAAATCACCATCCTCTGCTAACGGGTACCGCTTAATAAGTTTGGGCAGGTCGACCTTCCTGCGGGCACCCGACAACAGAGGTTTGATGACACCAATGAGGACAGAATACGGAGCCGCACCTGGGGCGCCTTGCTCGGAGCAAAAGCGTCCCCCGGAAGGCGGAACTCAGTCGGACCCGACTGGGGCATGGGCGCAGCCACCTGAGGCAGTACCTGGACAATCTTGTCCTGTACATGCCTCAACGAGGAAGCGAAGGAAAATATTCCCGAGGTCTCCGAGTCGTCTCCCCCCTCCTCCATCCACTCCTCCTCTCTCGTTTCGAACCGAAATTAATCGACTCTTCCCCGAGAGAAGAGGCAGACGAAGTCGGAAGGGGACGCCCGAAGGCCTAGGCCTTCACATCCCCGGGCTGCACCAGGCCCGAAGCCGAGTCCCGGTCCCGGTCCCGAGGTGCCGGGGGTTCAAGGGAACCCACCTGGCTCTGGGCTAGAAATCCGCTAGAGGAAGCCTCGGCCTCGGAAGAGGCGTCTGGCTTCGCTAGGGAGAACTGTGTGTCGGTAGTGAACGGGCCAGTGCCCGCCACCCCTCCGCCCGGTCTGAGATCATCCCCGAGACCAAGTGGCCTGCCTCGGCCGACGCCGGGCATATCACGAGGTCCCGAAGGCGCGTCCGGCTCCGACAACGGGGAAGGCTCGGTCCGCATCTCCTCTCGGAGCTGAGACTTTACCTCCTCCATCATCGACGCCATCTGCGACCTCAACAAGGCAGAGATGTCTGCCAAAGACGGTGCAGGAGAGGGTGCAGTGATTGTGACGGGGACCCTAGAGCCTTCTCCCCCCAGCCCCCAGGGAGGGAGCGGAAAGGACAGTCTCAGCTGCTTTTTTTCCCTTTCTTACTTTTTTAGAGGGGTGGGGCTGGACGGTCTTTGCCGATCTAATATCCACCCCCGCCTTCAATAGACCCTTAAAGTGTAAGAGGTCCACATTTCTCTTTTTCTGCGCCCGGGGGGTGAAAGCAATACAGATCATGGGTCATGCCCGTCTTCCGCCTTGATGCAAGTATCATGCGATACTAATAGCCAATGTCGTAGTATAATTATAACACCAAAGTGGGCGTGTTACACGCGAAGGTGTAAAAAACCCGTAAAAAAAATAATTAACACACCACCTTGGGTATATTAAAGGAAAAGATTGTAGGCTAAAGCCCGATGATAGAACATTAAAAAACCCAAGCCGTTTTTAATGGCCCTGGTGTTACATGTATCAAACGTGGCACTACAAAATGGACGCTACGACGGCCTTTGTTTCAAAGGTATCGTACACGTGTCACATAATTACAACTTTATAACTTTACAATGCGAGGTATTACGCCTTTGCATGAAAGAAATGTACCATACATACAGTTTGGTCTGCCATGGTTCTTGTACAAACGATTATCTCATACTTTTTTTAGTCTTGAAAAAAACAGCACGTCTGTCTTTGTCAGATGACATAAGGAAAGTGATTTGGGTAAGAGTTGCTTCCCTTGGCGTGACGCGCCGTGGAGGGTGAGTCACCATAAGGGTGGACGTATATCATACAAAAACAAAGTTTTTTGTGTGGTAACAATTTTTATTAAGGAAAATGGTTACAACTATGTCATGTAGATTTTCTTGAGTCAGGAAAATGTAATAAGTGCCCCAAGGAGGATTTCATCAGAGAATTCATAACCTCTACAGGTTTGTAAAAAAAAGTTTTGTCCCAAAGAAAGACAGTCATCAGCTTCGTCTCATTTTCAACATGAAACCTTTCAACAAACTATGCTACACTTCCGCATGACATCATGATCAGTAAAATGGTGAGTGCTCCTGTTTGGATTTTGTGTGGCCCCTTGGCCATTAGTTCGCCTCACAAAACCCATTGTCAAATTCCTACACATTCGAGACATCGCTTTCAAATCTTACATCAACGACTGCATTCAAATACACAAGGATTCGAACACTCTTCTTTGACACCTCGATTTCACAAAGTCCGAAACGATTCCTACACAATGTCTTCAGTTCAATGGAGCCCTCGTCGACTGAGCCTGGGCAAGATGTTTCCCAGGATCGTTGGGAGAAGATGTAACGCCTCGTTCCATTGGCACTCCATCAGCCACTTCCCTTGCGCCAGTGGCAACAACTTCTCTGCCTCCTGACTAGGGCTGGGACGGGTAACTCAGGTACTCGGGTCGGGTGGGTGCTGAGAAGGACCCGGGTACCCACAGGACTACCTGGACCCATGGTTAGTCACGTGATATATTGTTTCATGACAAAAATTCACTATATAACTACATGGTTGCCCAACAATTTTAAGTCTCTTATGTTTGCATTTCGTCATGACTATGAACACGTTCCTTCTGACTGACATATGTTTGAACCAAAGCTGAAACTTCAGTCAACTTCAGTGTTTGCATGACCACATCGTTTTATATGTGTATCTAAATACATTTTGCCAGGGCTACTCTCAAACTATTCCCAATTGGACATTTTGTACCTATCTTTTGAAACCAACTGCGGGTACCGGGGTAGGGTCGGGTAATAGGGGTGTAGATACCCGGGTACTAAATTTGGACTCGTCCCTACTCCTGACATCCAATCCAGTGCTTCCTCAAGCTCTACCTTCAGTACGTCAATTTTCAGGTTCTAATCACTCTCCTGAACCACCTACATCCACACCTCCAGTGGTGGGTGGCTACTGCCATCAAATGTCTGAAGAAGTCTCCTTGCAACCATTCACCCCGACCCTTCACCTCTGGCAGTGCCTCATTGGTCGACATGCCTTCAGTCCTCCACACTGATACACTGATGATCAAGTCAGACAACGTATCAGTCGTGTGGTACATAGACAAGATGGGATCAACCAAGTTGATGTCACTACTGTCTCTAACATTCGACCTTTTTCACCTGATTGACTTGCGCAACCTTCAGGTTGGAGCAAGACACATTGCTGGCATCTCGGTCATAGCCGACTCCCTGTCCTGTCCCGCCATGACAAACCATCTCCCACGGAATGGCGACTACTTCCAAGGGTATTCCATTGGATTTGCCGATTATTTCCGTGCCCACCGACCTGGGATCTTAACTTCAAACTTCGTCATATAACATTGACTGCTTACAAACCTCTGGTCAAGAAGGATTTCAAAAATTGCCTTGAAGGCGGTATTTCTTCTGGCCCTTGCAACTGCGGCTTGAGTGAGCGAAATACATGCATTAGATGTCAACAGAGTGCATTTTGAACGTACCTCACATGGGAAAGTTCTTGGTCAACGTGATCAAATATTTACCATTCCCCCTCTTATGTCCAACCTTAACCCTGACGATCGCGAAGACGTATCTTTGTGTCCAGTAAGGCTCTTCAGATCAACCTGGAAGCAGCGAAACCACCTCGACTGTTCGCTCCGCTCTCCTTGGCATCCGCTGCGTAAGTGTCTCATACTAGGATCTCGTTTTGGATGCACTTGTTCATCCTTCGAGCTTATAACTTCACTGATCTTATACCTTCATTGCCCCGGGTTGTAGGTTCAAAGAACGGATCCATACCTTCTCAAATGTAAGTTGTACTCATTCAACTTGGACATGCGATTACGCTTGCTTATGAGCAAGTCACACATATTGTACCTGACTTCGTTTGTTTCCTTTGTTTACGTGTCAGGATCTTAACACTCTCTGAGGGTGTTTCTTATTCTTATTTACAATTTCTTTTCTTACGACACTTTCTTGCACCCCACCATCTAACCGTGGGATAGAATGCAGTGTGAGATAGAATAAGTTTAAAAATTTAGAAATGTTACCATTAATTGTATAGTTATAAACTTATCCTATCTAACACTTTATATTCCCATCTGTCCATCCCTGCATCACAATTCCTTAGTCTATACACTCTTGAAAGAGAATGAGTTGGCTGGGATAGATACGTGATTGGCGTATGTTTACTTTAGAAGCTGGAAACCTTTTTTTCAGGCATATTCCACTTAGGATCGAAAGAAAAAAGAGAAATGCATAGTGTGAGATAAGATAAGTACGTAAATATACAATTTATTTTAAAATTTCGAACTGTTTGGACGATGTCCTTTGACCAAACCTCCTCGTGTGCATACAGATTATGCATAATATAAAACTGGGTATATTCTACACTTATCATACCACAAGATATAGAGTTGCCCGCCCTTGAGCTGCTAATGACAGGTACTTTGTTTACTGAACTAAAGAAAATCAGCTTAAAAAAATCCATATTGATGTGTTGTTAAAGTTGAACAAAGAACAAGAAACATCTTGCGTATGACATATTTAATAGGTTAGTAAGTGTGCACCATGGCGTTCCATTATTACTGCTGCAATAATATAGTGTATGCTACATTGATAGATGAAATGCAACACATCATTCACAAACATCATCTATTGCTTCAGGAGGAGCTGGAGAAAGACACAAGAGTTAGATGGTTCATCACTTTTTATGCAGCATGGTCACCCACTTGTATGCAGTTTGCTCCAACATTCTCTGAAGTGTCAGCTGAGTGAGTGTTTCATTCTATGCTTACAGTAAAGGCAATTTTTTTTAACTTATCCTGCATTACTCTGTATTGCATTTACTGCTGTCTTTTGACAGAAAGACGAACTGTGTGAGACCCAGCTGCTGAGGAAAGTTGTCCCAACCAGTACGGGAAGCAGCGCCCTCTCACAGTCGGCACGTGACCCTGAAGTCATGACGTCACATCAAAACACATAACTGCTTTGTGACCTCCACAGACAGACGTACTTTGTATCCCTTGTGGAAATAAAAGCTTATTGTTTCTATATTTTGCGTGTTTCTCCATTCATCGTCTGCTGCTACATCGTTACCTGGTTATGGGCTGTTACCTTTAGGGTCTTCCCATTTGTAAATTGTAACGTTTATCGCTCGTTTGAGGCTCTAGTCACAGTAATTTACGGGCGCAATATTGTTCCCGCCATTTTGTTTCTTTCCTGCCATTTTTGCCATTCACCACATGGCAAAGTAATTTTGTGTTCTGCGTTTTGAAATCTTTCTTTGGCTTGGATAATACATTAAATTTATGTATTATATTTTATGCTTAAAGCTTTGCCTTTTCGCTACCTTTTAGCGTAATTGTTTGCTCCCATAAACTTCAATAAAATACAAAGTTTTTGAGTTACATTATGCTTCCCATACTTTGTTGTTTTGCCACATAGTTATGTTTTGCTTGAATTCCCGATTTTCTGCCTCGCTGCACTTTTGCCAGGGGAAAAAATCTGGTCGGGGCCGCCCCTGCTGCAGTGATTGTACGATGCCCTGTACTTTGCCGATGTTGTGCCGATGTTGCAGTCCTTTGTTGCTGTGCTCCTTCAACTCAATACGAGTATCCAGGACACACCTCACTCAACATGCTTGTCGACCCCCAGATATGGCTTACAACTCCATACTTACTGTCACCTTTATGGACAACATCATCCCTTCCGGTGACGCCCGTAATGGAACGGGTCTTCCGTCTCCTCATCCATCTATGTTGACAGCAGAGGCATTGACGGCGCACCCGGCGTATCTCAGCCAAGCGTCCCAGCGCCTCCAGCGCTACCAACACCACCGGCACTCCCGTCGCCCCCAGCTGTCCGACGCTCCTGGTGCCTCAAGCTATCTGGCGCCTCAAGCTCTCTGGTTCTCCCGGCCCCTGTGGCGCCACAAGCCCTCCGTGCCCAGATCAACAAGCTGAGTATCTCAACCGATCTTGGGCAATTGCCTTTTCAGCGCCACTGACATCTCATAGATCGTCACATGGTGAAGCAAGGTGAAACCATGTCTTTCAATTGTCGCTGCTCTCCCGTACGTCTTCGGAGTCGTGACTATCATTCAACTTCCTGGAAGGAATCTTTCAACCAATAGACATTTAGGTTGATTCAACTTGCCGACTGGCGACTTTCTCCTTAACCCCGTCGTATAAAGCGCCATGCTTTCAGAGAGATGACCTGCAGGTTTCCATCGAAACAGAGCTTCTGGTGGACAGCGTCTGTATCAGAACTGGCATATCTTCACTGTTCAGGCTCATCAAGCCTGTTTGACCTCTTCGTCATAGGCTACCGGGTACCCACTTCTCGGGATCATGGTTGACTGGTCTCGCATATCACGGTGTATCATATCGCTCTGCACCGGCCCCGCCAATTGACAAGGACATCCACTGTCTTCTTCGTCGACATCGCCGACACCAACGCTCCTCTACCCTGCCTCAGCGCCAGCGTTCCTCAAAGAGACTCTTCCTCGGCGCTCCCCGGGTTATCCACAGTGCCCCCGGTGCTCCCGCGTTTTTTCTTAAAACTTGGGTACACCACTTGTTTGTCTACCACACAGTTCATTGAGGATTGTCTGTGTGTGGAAATTGCACCTCCAATGCGGCTGTGATTTACATGTACTCCGACTGTCAACAACTCAACAACTCAATTAGGTCAACTGACCATGGCGAGCAGTGCAATGTATTTCTACAGATTGGTTTGCATGCTTACATGTATGCATGGTGCAACCACTCAACCAGACGCCTGTCGCAGTCCTTCCATGCGCAGATGATGGAAACGATAGTCCTCCGCTGCCAACACGGCTGTCGCGAGGCACCTCGTTTCATCGCCCCCTCACTATAAGAATCATAGTGCCTGTACGGTGTTCAAGGGATGAAAAAGATCACCTTCCTTCGTACAGTTTGATCTTTTAGACTACGACATCTTCATATCTTCAGCCTTGGCTACCAGATACAGCATCGATATTCTCCTTCGTCCCACGACCGTTCCATTGCCCCTGTTGACTACTTTCCTAGTATCGTGTTGTCGTCCTTTAACGTCACCTCGATATAGAACAGGAGCGCTAATACGACGCTCAGGGGATGGAAACGATCACATTACTTCGTACAGTACGATGCGATCTACATTTACAGATTTCCTCAGATGGACACATTGCCTTGACTTCCGACTACCCGGTTACGTCAATGCCTCGGCAGTCAATTTTGGAGCTGGTTTATTTTGTCTACATGGGGTTTGGTTCTCAGGCGAGCACACCTCCCCACGTATCGTCCCGACGGTACACGATCGGAGACCCCTGTTGCTGACTTTTCAACTTTGCAGTCTTGTAGACAACCTCATTTACCATGACTTCCCGCTCTTCCACTTCCACCTTGTCAGTGGCTAGTGTTCTGTGATTGCCCACACCAGCCCATGTTGTGACCCACTGTGATCCGGAGATCAACACCATTGGCACAGCAACAGCCTCGTGATAAAAGTGTCCAAGGTAATTTTAACGCCTTACAGACCGGCGCTAATTGTCATTAATTACCAGGGTGTGGCCAGTCGCGTTGCTCTTCTTCTGAACTACGGTAATCCCCTCGCTCTTTGGTGCTGACTGTCTGGGATTAGCGAGAGGTACAATGTCAGTACCCGAGGGCCTTGGACCTATTACCGTAGTTCCTCCAACAAGCACAAAGATTGATCTTCGTTTAACAGCTTTTATTCCCACTTTGTGTTGCCGGTCAACCCACTCTATTTGTCACTTAATTACGAGACTTCGGCCGCAAAGCTTCAGTCTCAGTCGAAATGCTGGTGCCTAAGTTTGGTTTCTGGTTTGAAAGATCGTGACAACAAGCCGAGAGCGGAGCACCAGTCCAGATGTAGTCTCCCCAGCCGCTCCCTAGCCGTTCTCTCGCCGTTCTTAGCTGTCCTCTCAATTTGGGGCTATGCCCCTTTTTAAACCGGTACCTACGTCACAGCTCTACTCATTTTTCCATCTATCATTGGTCAACCACCTTTCCCCCCTACACTAGATCATTCTAACCCACTCTTATCTAATAACTAGCACCTTATTCGGACCTGCCATGATGAGGCTTCTCATCCTTTTGGAATTCAAACTATTTCCCCCCCAATACCATATATGTCTCAGGTCCCTAACATCTCCATTCCACTTTTTATCTACTTCCCATCTGGTTAATCGTTTTTCATTAATGTTTAACCCTCGACCTACTACCCTCACCCCTGGTTGTTCGTGGCCAAGTATGTTCCCCGTAGTCTTCAACTATCAGAGTAGTATATATATATATAAATGTGTTATGTTCATATCTTACTGGTTTCAACTCCTCTTCTTGACCTTTATATACAATCACGTAGGTGTCTTAATGAATTGTTAATTACTTTAATTAGTTGTTAATTACTGTACTTTTATGCCTATAATAAAAGCGCTTATCCAGGACATCACTTGCAGGCAGAGAATTCTTGGTAACGCCCTGTTGATCATGTCCATTGACAACATCACCATAGTGTGGTGTTTGAGGAACCAGGGTACTCTCCACTCTCCATCCCTGCTAAACCAGACCTTCCGCTTCCTCGACTTGGTGGTCAGACTGGATCTGTAATTTAAGAAAAAGGTTGAGAGCATGTTCTTGCACAGACTCTGTTGGCTCCCACTGAATGGAAGCTCCACCCAGATGTCTTCGCCAGACTATGTCAAACAATTGACACACCAAACATCGATCTGTTTGCCACATCTCTGAACTGTCAGCTGTCACCTTACATTTCTCCGGTGCCGGATCCGGCTGCTGTGGCAGTCGACGCCTTCAGTTTTTCCTGGGAAGGATTACACGCGTACACTTTTTCGCCTCCAGTTCCCTCTCCCGCGGTTCTTCAAAGATCCAGGCCACTCGGCATCTGCCACTGATTTTGGTCGAGTCTTGTAGGCCGGTCAGAAGTTGGTTTGTTGACCTCCGAAACATCGCCAGAGACAACCCCTGGAACTTCCGATGTGGTCCAACCTTCTGCTCCATCCACACAGTCGTTTGCCACACCCTAAAACCCAAACTGTTTCGTCTGCACACCTGGCACATCTGCAGAAAGCCCCATAAGCCAAGGGCTATTCGGCTAGAGCGGCCAAGGCTATTGCTTCAGCCCACTGTTCATCTACACAGGGACTGTATGATGATAAATGGTGCTCGTTCCAGGTATTCTGTTCCGACAAATACCAGGATCCGATGACAGCGTCACCGCAGTTCCTGGCTCAGTTCCGTCTGTATTCGCGCAGCACCTGTCGGTTGAAGGGCTCTACCTCTCCACATACCTCAACTCCATCCCGGACAATCGGAGAATGACGAAAATTCCCGAACTACAGGCCTGGCTGTGCTCGTTCCGTTGAAGACCAGATGGCCAAGTTCAGACCGCCTGCGTTGGATCTGAATGAGGTCTTAAATGCTCTTCGTACAGCTCCCTTCGAACCACTCCAAACGTCTTCCTTCTATGACCTAAGGAAGAAGACGGTGTTTCTACTGGTTTCAGTTACTGCCGCTCGGGTCAATGAGATCTACGCCTTTGATGTCTCCGTTGTCCGGTTCGAATGCAGTACTCAGGGCGTCGTTCATCATGGATCATGCTGGGACTTCATCGTAAAGAATCAACTCCCAGGAGAGCCTGATAGTTCATTCATTATCCCCTGCCCCTTCGTCCATTGTGGGTGCCGAGGATGAGGAGGAGCGTTATTATGCCCAGTAAGGGCACTGAAGGTTTTCTATGATGATCTAAAGCCTGTCGCAAGTCCAGGAAACACCTCTTTTCTACAGGTCTGCCCTTCGTCGCAGTCATTGGTCAGCTGGAATACTTTTCCCTGTGGCTCGGGGCGATCATCCTCCAAGCTTTTAAAGCTGCCAGATTGGACCCTCCCCCCAAGGCTATCAACCCACACAAAATCAGGTCAGTTTTTACCATGGTTCTTCACAGTATAACTGTTCTATTCAGTCGCTCATGGAAGCCTGTTCTTGGCGATCTTACACCGCCTTCGCCAACATCTACTTCCGTGATGTAGCCTTGGAAGATGTCGCCGGCATTCACAGTTTTGGTCCCTGCTTGTAGCCCAACAGGTCACCTATCACCAACACCACTGATTCTCCGATACCCTGAGCCGGGCCCGTCAACCTCTCTGGTGTTTATCACCTGAGACAAGACGGCTCTCTTGCGTTCCGCATTCGCTCTTAGGTCAGTTTTAGTTGTTGGCTAAGCGCCTCATTCTATTTCTGTCACCTATCCGGGTTTTACTTTTTGCATCAACTCTAGTTTCCTGACAACAGGAATGGACGTAGACACCAACGCTGACACCAACGCCGCTGATTCTCCGATACCCGGAGTGGTGCCCATCGACCTCTCCAGTGTTCCTCACCTCCAGGTAAGTGGGCTCTCCTGCGTTTCGCATTCGCTCTTTGGAATGATCGTAGATATTGCCGCCGATTCTTCGATGCCCCGAGTGTGTTTATCACCTCAGATTAGAGGGCTCTACTGCGTTTCGCTTTTGCTCTTAGGTAAGTTCTAGTTTGGGGCTATCCGCCTCATTCTATTTCGGTTACCTATTAGGTGTTTCCTTTTTGCATCAACTCTTGTTTCCTGAAGACAGGAATTGTCGTAGATGTTCCGGTTATCACTTGTATTTGGTGCGGATTCATCAGCCCTTGACGAGGGTTTATTATGGATCACATCTGAAGGTATGCCCACCAGCCATGCCGTCTGATAAAGATGCAATACGGAGTAATGCAGGATAAGTTAAAAAAATTAGTAAAATCTGAATATTTTTTACATTTGTATACTTATCCTGCAATACGAAGTCTAAGTGCCCTCCCTTCGCTATGCTGCCTCGTCACGAAGTTTCAGATGTTATGTTTAAAGCAGTTATGTGTTTTGATGTGACGTCATGACTTCCGGTTCACGTGCCGACTGTGAGAGGGCGCTGCTTCCTGTACTGGTTGGGACAACTTTCTTCAGCACCTGGGTCTCACACAGTTCGTCTCTCTGTCAAAAGACAGCAGTAAATGCATGCAGAGTAATGCAGGATAAGTATACAAATGTAAAAAATATTAAGATTTTACTAAATCTAAGACTCCTGACATGTGAAAAAATGGGTAGTTCTTTTGCTGCAGTATTGTTACAGATCATCCTCCTCAGAATTTTTAACTTATCTTGCATTACTCCTTAATGCATTCACTGCTCACCTTTGACAGTAGTGAAAGCTGTGATTTATCTTGCTTGAAGAAATAAAGAAGTTGTTCCATAGCAGGACCCCCAATCACTAGCTGCCATGCCACACCGGAAGTGATAGACATACAATGTCTTCATATCCCTGCTGGTCACCATACAGTACAGACGTGTTTCTAAATTAAACCCAATTTTGCTGCTTGTCTGTCCTTGTGATTTTCAATGTTCCTATAGAAAGACCTATATCCTTTCACCCTGTGACAGGTGGCGTCTGTACATCTTTATTTCTTCTAGCAGGATTAATCACAGCTTTCACTACTGTCAAAGGTGAGCAGGGAATGCATTAAGGAGTGGTGCAGGATAATTATAAAAATATGAAAATTATCTAGATTTTATTAGTGTTAATGAATAATGAAACCAGTTATCTTCGACTGTCTTTGTTGACATTTTGAACCATTAACTACATTAACAGGTGAGCTACAGTGTCATGGCACTAATGTTTGAGGGTTTATGGTAATGAAGATAAGCAGTAAGACAACTTCTTGATTTGCTAGCTCAGCAAAGTTGTAGACCTTTAAAACATGTGCAATGATTGAGCATCTATCCCATCCTACACACGACTCATAAAGTGTGCAACATTCAAATGTACATTGATTCAAAACTATATAGAAACACATGACACAGTGTGAGAGCCAGCCAAAGTGGTCAGTTTGAGATTGCCTGCAGTTATTTTATCAGTTCAATGTGGAGAGGTTCCATGTAAACATGAAGTCATGACAATGTCTACATAGCTCCAGGTTATCACAATCCTCACAGGATTTCTGGTTTTATGATTTTGACAAATTTCAATTTTTAAAACAATATCTTTCATAACAAATGTTATATCTAGGATAACATTTGTTACATTTGACCACTTTCTAAATGGCATGTGTTCATAATATCTTTCATAAGATCATGATTATTTGTTTCAGATTTACAAAAGAAAATACATGGAAGTAGTGAAAGAACATTATTTGTTGTTGCAGGTACTCCCTAAACAATCTGAAATTTGGTAAAATTGATGTGTCCAGATATCCAGCTTTAGCTGAGAAGTAAGTGTTATCCAGACAGTTCAACATCATGCCTACAGGGAGTCATCATGTTTATTACTGGAAGATCATGTAGATTTTGCTGTTTGCAGAGCAGGATATTTATTCTGCCATGTGACATGTAATAATTATGTTTTCTATTCACCCATTCTTGATATTGCTGCATGGAAAATATGGATCTCATGGTTCTCAGATGTATTTACACATTCTGCATTTACCATATATTCCTGTGTATAAGGCAAGTTTTCATGCCCTAGAATTTGGAGCTTTCAAGGGGGTCGCCTTATACACAGGGTTTGATGTTTTTTTCCCCCAACACAAAGACATTACCATGAGCATGTACCACCAGAAATACCATGTCAACAAATCCATACTGAAGTACGCAAATTAATCATGTAATTACACTGTCTGGTTATAAAAAGTGTTCATTGTATATCTGGACTTAAGATTGTAATCTATTTTATTAATTTTATTCAAAATCTCATTCAATATTGTTCACATTCATTTCATGAATCGTGTGTGAAGTGATCGGTAGATTGCACAACTCGTCGTTATTTACAGCAACCACTGCTATTGATGCCTTGAAACTCTTTAGTGGACAGAGAATGGAATCCATTCAATGGATATATATATATATCATAAATGCCATACTTTGACTCATTGAAAGTCATATTTGTTGTAGTTTGACTATTATGTGTTAACATAAAGATTTCACGATCGCTAGCGTGGGAGCATCGGCGGTGATTGGTCATATTGTTCCATACATGTTCGACAATAGCAATCAGCTGTACCAAAGTGCTATGCTTTTGGTTATTAATTTGTTTCAAATATATAAAGTAAGGCTACTACTAAAATAACATAGTATTGGAATATATTATTCCTGATAAAACAATAGTTTCAGATACAATTCTTCTCATCATTGTATCAAAATTTGTATATATAAAGTTATATTTTTGGGTAACTTTTAACTGAATCACAGGTAGATTCCAAGAAAATGTGTGTACAGCTGATGGCTGCTTCCAGCTTAGTTTACGAGAAAATACATATGGTAATCTCAACCTCTGCATATAAAAAATGCTTATGAAAGACAATTTAATCGGTAAATCATCATGTCTATTGAAGTTTTATCTCAAATTTTAAATTTGTATTAACCAAGTTTAATTATAATCACCTGTTCGTTTAGCTGAAATCCCTGAAGGGATACAATGTAAATTTTTTTCTGCGAAAGACAAGCACATTTTTATTGCAAATGTAGGGATTGTGTACGTGATGGTGGTGTTTCATTTCGATTTGCTTTGTAGACGGGGTATGTAGATTAGCATTGATTTTTAAGGCTTTAACTGGAGGTTGGGGGATGGGTCCTGTTGAGGCTGGGGTTGCTTTATAGATGGCAATATACGGTAAACATGATATGACCACCCATCTATCAATTCATCTTTTTGATTGAGTATTGATTTTCAAAAAGTATTATTTAGAGAAGACCAAACTGAATACTTGTTTCACCGGAAATTGTTTTCGAATTGCACAGACGCAGGTGGGGAAGACCACTTGTTCAAGTGCTCAAGGGAGACATTCTAACTTTCTTACGAAATGCAGTTATGCATCCAAGTGATAACTATCACCTTTTTCTACAGTTATCCTTAGTTCTGTGGCAGCATGTGGTTCATGGTTATCTGCCTTTGTGTAAACGACAAGAACGACAGACTTGATAGTTGGAGATGTTTCTAGAAGGCTGGCTGTACTGATATAAGAGCATGATGAGGGTGGATGAGGCTAGCTATCTGAAAACTTCAGGTCTTGCAAAGTTTTGCAATAATCAATTTTGGATTTAACTGAAATTTTGTTGCTAATAATTATACAACTTCATATGGTATTTATGTAATGGTAATGTTACATTTGTAGAATCTGTTGTGTTGTGCTACAGTTCATTAGTAAATATAGGCGACAAAATACATTTGACGACTCATGTTCACATGACCGTGCAAGTAAGCTAAGTAAGCTCCTTCTGATGCCAAGCTATGACACGATCAATTCATTTTTTATAATAATACTACATAACATATGTGATTATGGAGCCATATTTGGTATTGAAGGTATTATAATTATATTACAACAAATCTTAATGAATCAGTCATGCTTGTTAAACACAAACTGGTTAAAAAATCTTTATATGTATCTATACATGAGGAAGGCATATCGTGGCACCCTAATGGAAAGTATTTGAAGAACACATGGTGTACTCATATGCTCCTCTGCAACAAAATCTGACACTTGAGTACCTGGAGTGTGTACTATATCTGTCGGGGGCCCCTTGGGGCCATCAGAGACAAGAAAGCTGCGTAATGTTAAGAAAGAGGCAAAGCACCAAACTTTCCTTGATATAATGTTTTCATCAGGTGCCACTTGTTGTTTTAGCTTCTGTTTTAGCTGATCTTCAGAATCATGAATGGAAGTATGAGAGTTGACTGTGGTAGAATCATCACATGCATTGTCAATGTCCATATTTTGTTTGTACTGAAATTGCTATGTTAAACTGTTTGATAATGCCTGTGTCATAATTGAAATAGATGTGACAATGATGCAATGTCTCACTCTGGAATGGGGTAGTGATATGAAGATATATTTGTTGGCCCCTAAATCTAACTATGAAGACAAGACACTCAGGTAGTGATATGAAGATATATTTGTTGGCCCCTAAATCTAACTATGAAGACAAGACACTCAGGTAGTGATATGAAGATATATTTGTTGGCCCCTAAATCTAACTATGAAGACAAGACACTCAGGTAGTGATATGAAGATATATTTGTTGGCCCCTAAATCTAACTATGAAGACAAGACACTCAGGTAGTGATATGAAGATATATTTGTTGGCCCCTAAATCTAACTATGAAGACAAGACACTCAGGTAGTGATATGAAGATATATTTGTTGGCCCCTAGATCTAACTATGAAGACAAGACACTCAGGTAGTGATATGAAGATAAATATGTTGGGCCCTAAATCTAACTATGAAGACAAGACACTCAGGTAGTGATATGAAGATATATTTGTTGGCCCCTAGATCTAACTATGAAGACAAGACACTCAGGTAGTGATATGAAGATAAATTTGTTGGCCCCTAAATCTAACTATGAAGACAAGACACTCAGGTAGTGATATGAAGATAAATATGTTGGGCCCTAGATCTAACTACTGGTATGTAGACAAGACACTCAGGTAGTGATATGAAGATAAATATGTTGGCCCCTAGATCTAACTATGAAGACAAGACACTCAGGTAGTGATATGAAGATAAATATGTTGGGCCCTAGATCTAACTATGTAGACAAGACACTCAGGTAGTGATATGAAGATATTTGTTGGCCCCCTAAATAAGATACAGGGATGTGAAATCTCTGCGGAAACGCAGAAAATCGCGTTTTATAAAAACAATAGTGCTCAGAAGAAATCATCTCCCCGTGTGAAAATATAATCAAAGATTTAACAAACAAAAACACTCCAAAAAATATGATTGAAAACCTGACAACCATTTGCATGCCCCCAGACCCCCCTAGACTTGCCCACACAAATCTGCCACTGTTGTTGCGACTCATGTGAGCTGCATACCTTTTGGCCTCCCTCCAGCGTATCACTGAGACATCGTGAACAATGCAAAGACCATAAAGAGTAGAATTCATGGCACATTTCAATTGATGTCCATGTGAGTGTAATTGTGGATCTTCTGTTTTTAGGTTTAAGATAGACCATAGTGCTTGGTCCAGACAGCTTCCTACTATTGTCTTCTTTGAGGATGGCAAGGAAAAGACAAGACGGCCATTATCCACCAAACATCATACACTCAAGTTCTCTTCAACAAAGGTGAGTTTTTTCCTTTCATTTCAACATGAGTATAGTTGTCCCATACTAATTAAGATGAGGGGTGGTAAACAAGGTAAGGGCAGTTAATGAACACATCATACAGTCTTGCCAATTACAAAGAAATGTAAACATATGCTAAAATAGGAATTTGCCAAAACTTGTTGTGAAAAAACGTGTTGGGCATCCAGTGTGAAACCCCTGCACAACATGCATGTGTTATCTTCGTGAGAGACATGGGGCGGTCGGGTAGCCTAGTGGTTACAGCGTTCGCTCATCATGCCGAAGACCCGGGTTCGATTACCTACATGGGTACAATGTGTGAAGCCCATTTCTGGTGTCACGCCGTGATATTGCTGGAATATTGCTAAAAGCGGCGTAAAACCATACTCACTCACTCACGACATCTTTCTGCAGGCAGGGATTCATGAGTCAGGCGACAATAATGTCAAATACATTTAGATACTATCCTTTGTGTATGTTCCATGTAAAAAACAACATTTGTTTCCTGCATTAAAATTTGCCTTTTGTCTTAGAAAACTTGAACCTCAGACCACTATATTTCTCTATGACGACTAGTGCAGATACTTGGAATATTATTTTTTCTCATCTACACTCACATGATCAGTGGTCGGGTCAGGGTAACTAATTTAATATCATGGTAACAGCTTTTCCCTCCCTTGGCTAGGTACCCGGGGTACCTGTTTCAGCCCTTATTGAATGCAAAATGCAGTGTTAAAATACTTCTGAATTTGGAACAAAGTTACTTAATTTTGAATCCTGTATGTGTATGTAATAATTTCATCTTCTTGAAATGTAGGGAGAAGGAGCTGTTGCAGATATTTCATGACGTTCAAGTGACTTTCTTGTACCTCCAGCATCCACAACTTCATCATGTGCCAATTCATGGCTTGTTCTTGGACAAAGACTCACCTCATCTTTATGATTTCAATTGTTTATGAAAATAAGTCTGTCAGTGTATTTTTCTGTTTCAGGAAAACTTTGTCAAAGAGTTTGAATTGAATGAGGTTTATAACCAGTGCAAGAAGAATCCCTTGGTTGTGAGGAAGAAAAAGGATGACTGAGGGGCCCATCTATCATTGTCACCTGTACATGATCACACAAGTGACTTCTAGTCGGCATCGCAACACCACTCAAGCTCCTCGGCTTTCCTGTGGTTTTTAATATAAAAATAACAAAAGATCCAGGTTGAACCTGAAATCTTTACTGTTGGATGTAGGTGGGAATGCAGTTAGGTACAGATTGGGTTGTATTTGTGTACATGCAATTTAATTAAAATCAGATCTAAGTTCTCGCTATCGCCAAACAAAGATCTGAGGACATTCCATTACGGTTCAGAACGACCTTTCATCCAACCAATCAGAGCGTCGCTTACCAGATCATGAAAGTGACAGTCAGAATGTGTTTTCTAATCATGCAACCACGAAATATTTAACATGGGGTATTCCGAACGACAGTTACAGGTTTTATGATTATATCAATTCAATCCAGGCCATCTATGTCATTCCAGAATGTTCTTATCAGTTTTAAAATATTTAATCGAGAACACGGCAAAATATGTTTCGAAGCGTAGTTGCCAGTTTGAAACTAGTGTCGTAAAACTCAAGAAAGCTGCCTTCTGATTGGCTAATGTCGATTTCTTGTCAGTCATTTTATTGGTCGGTCAAAATTCGCGAAAGGTCATTCTAACGTGACCTGTAATGGGGTGTCCTTAGATCTTTGTTTAGCGGTAGCGAAAACTAAGATCTGATTTTAATGAGATTGGTGTACATGTATTGTAATAATTATTCCAGATAAAAAATGAGTTTGTAATTAATATTTTTTGCCCAAATGGGTGTTGGCCAATAACAAACATCACAGACTGCAGTATGTCTTCGTTGACTGACCCAGTTGTGCAACGATGTAGTGACCACTGAGATAATTATGGATTTGGATCAAATAGCCTACTGAACCATGTAGACAAGAACAGCCAAAGATATGTTTAGTATTTTGTTCATCTTTTGAACATCTTTCTTAGTTAATGATGGAGAAAAGTCTTTTGTGTCATCTTCATTTTTGATCATGAAGATTTCATGACCATAACAAAAATGCAGTTATCTCTGAAGAATTGTTTTCTGGTGCCTTCCAAACAAATTAGTGTATGGAGTGAAAATCCATGAAAGTGACCACACTATATTACTGTTTTGCAACCCTTTGAATTAGGCTTGGTTACTATTTTGCTTACTCGGGTGGACAAATGCTTTTGCTAGTGAGGTGAGCCAGTGTGGTATTTAATGTATGTGTTATTTAAGTGTGATGATGACTTGTAAGACTGAACGCTGGATCACCTTGTGGGGCTCAACATGTGGTATATTGGTAGGAGTTAGTGGGGCTCAACGTGTGGTATATTGGTAGGAGTTAGTGGGGCTCAACATGTGGTATATTGGTAGGAGTTAGTGGGGCTCAACATGTGGTATATTGGTAGGAGTTAGTGGGGCTCAACGTGTGGTATATTGGTAGGAGTTAGTGGGGCTCAACGTGTGGTATATTGGTAGGAGTTAGTGGGGCTCAACGTGTGGTATATTGGTAGGAGTTAGTGGGGCTCAACGTGTGGTATATTGGTAGGAGTTAGTGGGGCTCAACATGTGGTATATTGGTAGGAGTGAATAGGGCTCATCATATGACAGTTATTCCCCTGTCTTTTGAAACTTGACCAAACATTAATCCAAACCATGAATGTTGTAGTTTGTATATATTGTTCAAAGTGTATGTAACTGGAGTGACAACAATGTTGCACAATTATTCTTTTACTGTCTTCAGTTGTGGAACAGTCCTGGTATTGCTGCAATCTGACAGATTAAGAGACTTGACACTGTTACTGTGTTGTAGCGCTAATATTGCATTATTGATTACACATAGCAGAATCTGAAACATGCATAACATATCTCTGTTGTGTATATGTAGTGTTTTAATTGATGACTTCATTAATGTGTGTAGCTCATTGTGTCCTTGCCTTTGACTTTCTCTTGCTGCTACTGATCCAGCTGTGTGCTGAATGAAGAGCTGCATGTCATGAATCTAGCCAGCTGAGTTTGTTTGTGTGTTGTGTGTTGTCCGTTGCGTTGGAAGACTTTAAGGTGGTGGTGACCACAGTGGCGGCAGACCCATTTTATGTGTCATGGCTGATTGTTCCTTCAATTGTCATAATCAGTAAACATATTTTTAAAATCATCAAGACTGGTGACGCTGAAACTGTATGAACATGTCCCTACCAGTGATTGTAAATAGGAAAATACTAAGAAAATCTTTGATCGCTTTCATCTGAAATTTAGCATATACATTCCTATGAATGAAGGCATCTGATTAAACGCTCTATTTTTCAGGGTTTTCTTACGACTTGAAAAATAATTAAATATTTCAAGAACAAACATAAAACACTTTCATCTATTAAAGGCAAAGTTGTCTGAATGATTATACCAGTGCTGGTTTCAAGTGCTTTAAAGACATGATCAGCTGTCAACTTGGCTTCAGCAACTGTGTCTCATGAATAACAAGGCAAGGAAAGCCAAACCATTGTTGATCTGTGTGGGATGTAGTCACTTTCTGCACAGTAACCAAACTCCAGGAAAAGTGCTTCTCAGTTGTGTGTGTGTATACAACTTGGATGCGTATTTGAATTCATAACAGATTGATGCTAACATAATCTGAAGTTAGTGACTTCAAGGTCATTTACAGCTGGTTAGAAGCGTGCATTATAACCTGATCGGGGTCACACCTTTTCAAAGTTTGTTGGGTTTGGTTGCATCCATAAACCAATCAGAAATACTGTTGAAGTAACAATAGATTTAATGTTATTGTATTTGCCCAGTTGCCCTATGTTTAATGGGTGAGAAAGATAAAAAGATCCAAGAAAAATAATACATGATTAAACTAACACTTGATTTTATTGTATGAATTGATAAAATTCATTGTATGAAGACTGCCCACTTCAAACCTCTCCGAAGTATTTACTAAATACATGTTACTAAAGATCCTGCACTTTAAACATTTAGTGTGCTATCACCACTAAACTGTAACAAACAAGGACATGCCATAATTATTACAACAAGACTGTGACCTTAGCAATAATCGCTCATCTGGAATGAGGGTCACCAGATCATTCTTTGTAAGTACGGAATATGTCTTACCAAATGTACTGATGATCCATATGACGGAGGGTTCATTATACCGGTCCCAACATCGCTTGAACTGTAATTCCGGTTTAACAGACAATGATAGGTAATAACTATTTCTTCAGCTGTTTCTTTTACAGTGTAAACTATCTTGTTGGCATCCATCATTTGTAGGTCACCAGACTGAAAGTCAAGTGAGCTTTTGTCATGGTCTGCTTTCCTGGCATGGTTGTCATCGCCAGTATCGTCGACTGTAAACATCATCTCCTCAGAAACCACAACACTGAAACTTTGAATGGTTGTTCCCACCAATGACAACACCTGAATTTGCTTGAGAGATTTAAATCTGATTTTCAATATGGTTGGCACTGCTCAGCCAGTTTCTGTTCAAAATGTGTAGCTCATAAGCTCTCACTAAATGCAGGTTTCTTCTTATGATGACATATTATTAGGATTTTAATGTGTTTTGTGAACCTATTAGAAACAATATGTGTGATCAGTAAAAACGTTATTGCCCAAAAAAGTATTATAAGTCTCAGTAACTCAAACTTTGTTTAAAGTAAATTTAACTTTAGTACATAATGTACATCGCAACAATGTTTATTATATACGATAGTGCAATTGTTTTTGCAGATTTAGAAACATTTGGATATTTGTTACTTTTATCCTCAGTATTTTAGCTGGAAATACTGAAGGCAGCTTGGCAATATTCCAGATATATGACTGCCATATACAGATCAATCTCATTAACATCAGGTCTTAGTTCTTGCTACCACAAAACAATCTGATTTTAATGAGATTGTGCACAGTTTGAATGTACTTGACAGGATTGAAGGACCTTGTTCTGTATCGCCCGTCATGTGTTGTTCTTGGGAAGATGACTTTCTGTATGGGTACAACATAATGAAGCGGTATGTATATTTTATAATCAGAATATGAATGTTCAATTGTTATTATCTATACACATGAAAATAAATGTTTTTTTAAAATACTCTACTGCCTTCTTTCTCCTTACACACATATCAGAGGGAACAAACTTTTGGCCAAAGTAGGAGCTGTATGAAGCCAACATTGGAGCTAGTATTACGGACAGCAATTCTGGTTTCCTGACACTGTTGTACTCAATCAGATCCACCTTGTTTCATGAGACTGTTGGCCCCAAGATAAAAGCATTTTCTCAGATATTGTATTCTCTTGTCTTTAAAAAGTTTGTGATTTGACATAAAATGTATGTAGGACAACTCGACTCTAATTACTTCATGATGGCTTGGATCTCCTGTCTCACTTAATAACCATGATGCTGGGAAAGAGCAGCATTCAATTACTGGTAATAAGACTTATATTACAGCATGGAGGATACATATGAGGGAGAGGGTTCTACCGTACCAGGGGAAGAGACCTGTATAAGTGAGCGCACACTTGTGTATATATGCTGAAGAAAATGTTGTTCCAACTGGTTGTGGGGCTTAGCCTGTCACACAGCTTATATGTGACCCCTGAAGTAGTGACATCACTGAACAGCACATTACTGCTGTCATGCCCAGAAACAAGACCTGTTTTTGTGTCTCTGCATTAGCTACTTGAATCCTTCGAGTGTTTGATACTCTATTGTTATTCTTGTGAATTATAATGGTGCCTACCATATATATATTTCATATGATTCATGCCATCGCATTAATATTTATCGTCTGGTGTGGTGTTTACCACAAAAACCATCAGACGTATTGTTGTTCCAAATCAGCCATCTTGAATTCACCTAGTAGTCACATATTGTCTTGGCATGTGTTCTGTATTCATTGTATTGCAATTTATTGCCGTACCTTAGCGATATTATTGTTATCAAACTCATAGTTTTTTGTGTTAAACTTATTATTCATAAACCCACAAGACTAGGATAATGATTATAGCATACATCATCAGTTGGGAACGCAGTTTGAATACACTATCATTGTAGCAACTGTCAAGGGAATAAATTGGGGTCGGACCTGCATGCTTTATGTCTAAATTGAACTACCATCTGCGCCTGGATAGGTGCAAAGATAGTCTGCTCCTCTCTCCAACTGTTTTCTCCAAAAAAAGGTTTCAAGGCAGATCCAGCAGACTCGGAAGCGGTGCCTATCTTTAATAAGAATGTCCGACTTGTCCAAACCCACCCCTTCCCCACCGACGCAATCTCATCCTGTCACTGTTGATACATCACTGTTGCCATTATCCACACTTTCATCGATGAATTACACGTTATCTGCAGCGACATACCAGTTCTCCATGGCGACAGTGGCACCGATGCTTCAGGCAACAGTACTCTGGCTCTCGAGGTGTAGGCCATGACCAAGAGGGGCATTCTTCAAGACTTTTCTGAGGACAACCCTAACCTGCTTGATCAGCTGACCACAGTCAGGCGTACCACCAACAATTTACCGCTCCAGAGGTGGAAGTGGTGACCGCAAGCCCAAGTATTGATATGACGAATGCCAACGACTGGGAACTCCCACCCCCTGCCATTCAAGTCATCGAGACCACTGTATGTGAGAGATGAGGGCCGAATTAGGACATCCATACGTCACAAGCCCCATGGGTATCAGCTGACTCTGAAAGACGACCAGCCCTTGATGGTATCACCACAATCTCATTAAAATCAGATCTTAGTTCCCGCTATCGCTAAACAAAGATCTGAGGACATCCCATTACAGGTCACGTCAGAAAGACCTTTCATCTAACCAATCAGAGCGTCGCTTACCAGATGATGAAAGTGACAGTCAGAATGTGTTTTCAAATCATGCAACCACGAAATATTTAACAGAGGGTATTCCGAACAACAGTTTCGGGTTTTATGATTATATCCATTACAATTTAGGCCATCTATAAGCCATTCCAGAATGTTCTTCTTATCAGCTTTAATTTTTTTAATCGAGAATGATCAAAATATGTTTCGAAGTGTAGTCGCCAGTTTGAAACTAGTGTCGTAAAGCTCGAGAAAGCTGCCTTCTGATTGACTAATGTCGATTTCTTGTCTGTCATTTCATTGGTCGGTCAAAATTCGCGAAAGGGATGTAATGGAATGTCCTCAGATCTTTGGGTGTCACCAATAGCAATCTCTACTGCTAAACAATCTCATTCTCAGACACTAACACTACACTACAGTAGCTACTGCGTTCAAACATCAACACACTGCTAGGCAAAGAGACCCTAGAGATCACACACATGCACTAGCTGCCTGCACTAATGCCAGGCTTCTACTCAGCATCTCCTCTGTCAGTTGGACTGGATTATCAATGTCTGGAAATCGGAGCTCACACCTTCATACGATCTCCAATATATCGGAGGCCACTTTCAGACTGATCGCGACCTCCTCTCCTTACCCAGGGACAGGTGGCATCGAATCCAACGCCATCTACTCCCTGTGCTACAACAACCCCACACTCTCTGCCGACGGCAGGCGCTCCTGGGTCTCCTCGCGTCAACCGCAGAACTTGCCATTCAGAGGATGGCTCCATCTCCACCCCATCCAAGTGTTCTCTACGTCAGGCACAAGGACCAGTCTATCGATCACCATATCCATAGACATTATCACCGTGGAATGGTGTCTCCGCAACCGGGAAATGACTCACTCCTCCTCCCTGTTATGGCAGACATTCATGTTATTTCATCTGATCGATAAACTGGACCTCCCTTTCAGATGCAACACATTCCAGGTTGCTGCAACATTCTTGCAGACACCCTCTCCAGACCAGACAAGGTAGCCCCCACAGAGTGAAAACTCCATCCGGATGCCCTCGGTCTGACGCCTTGTCTGTGGTCATCTCAGCAATCCCAGCGCCTTGGTTGCCGGTTTATGGACCTGTGGTTTGTGGAGAAATTTCCTCCACCAACCTCTCAAACTTTCCAAAGAGCTTTAAATGCCAAGGGCTACTCTGTGTGGGCTGCGAAAGCAATAACCCTTGCGCACAGACCGTCCTCCAGGGGCCTTTATGACGACTATTCGAGAAATATGCAAGGAAAACACCAGCATGCTGACACAGCATCACCCCAATTCTTGGCAGAATATCTACTATTCCTACGCCACAAATGCCATCTGAAGTGTAGTACTCTGACGACTTACCTTGTGGCCCTGAACTCCCTCCTGGCAGTTGCGGAAGATCGGAAAATGACCAAGGATTCGGAGCTACAGGCGCCTGTGATCTAAACGTGGTCCTGACTTTGCTGATGGGTGTGCTGTTGAACCTCTTCACTACAACCAAAGATACTACCTCACCAAAAGACATCAAAACAGCGGCACGAGTGAGTGAGCTACATGCACTGACATCACTCATGTCAGATTTGAATGCCGAGTGTATGGAGCTGTTCATCCTGGGCATCATTGCTAAGAATCAACTCCAGGACAGACAGATGGATCCTTTGCCATTCTGCCTCTATCTTTGATAGTTGGAATTGAGGTTGAAAAATGCTCCTAGGTCTGGTACGGGCACTGCACTGTTTCATCTGACGTTCCAAGGATCATCGAGGAAAACACCGTTGCCTCGTCATACCGATAGCTCCGACATCGCAGGAGGAAGTCAGCTGAAATACAATCACCCTGTGGCTTTGTGCCCTCATCCTTCTGGCTAACGAGGACGAGGGCCAACAACCATCACGAGATCCGGGCAGTTGCCTCCACCATGGCACTACATAGCAAATGCTCCATACGCGCCATTATGGAAGGCTGTTTCTGGCGCTCAGACACCATCTTTGCCAATCACTAGATGTGAGATGTCGCTTTTGAAGATGTGGAAGGTGTCCCTAGTTTCAGCCCTTTGGTGGTAGGCCAACAGGATACCAAGATGCCACTGACAGTTCCACATGTCAAGAGCCAATCGACCTCTCCGGTGTGCGCAGCCCAGACTAGAAAGTACACACATGTTTAACGCCACACTCAGCCATATGATGGCAGCCTGAAAATAATCAGCATCTGGACCAGGGGCATGATGAGTGAGTTAGTGAGTTGGGTTTAACGCCGCTTTTAACAGTATTCCAGTTATATCACGGCATTGGGGGCATGATGAGAGGCAATTAACCAAGCCATCATGGTTAAACACTCGGTCACCACTTACAGCCAGCAAAGGTTGGGGGACCTTTTCTAACACAGAATCCATGGAAAGTGGTATTTCCCTAATAAGATACACTCATGATAATACCAGTAAGTTATCTTAATTTTGTGGCTATCGTGGCAAATAATTTAGACTTATGAAGTTGGTCTGTGACTTGGCTGACTACATATATTATTGTGACCCAATGGTGTTAATGATGGATGAACAGACACCCCAACTTAGCAAAAATGGCTGCTTACTCAAACAACAAACAAAGTTAATCTTTAGTAATTTTAACGCCACCCTCAGCAATATTCCAGCCATATGATGGTGATCTGTAAATAATCAAGTCTGGACAAGACAATCCAGTGATTGATATCATAAGCATCGATCCACACAATTGAGATCAATGACATGCATCAACCAAGTCAGTGAGCCTGACCACCTGATCCCATAAGTCGCCTCTTACGACAAGCATGGGTTGCTGGAGACCTATTCTACACCGGATCTTCAAGGGTGCTAAAGATAAACTGTTACTATTTTTCAGTTCATTGAATTTGAGTCATGCAAACTGTAGGAGACGTTTAGACGTTTTTCAACAGGGAAGAAGATCAAAACTCAAATACAATGAATACTTGGCAGAATGAAATGACACAAATGGGTTTCAAAATCATTCCATTTATTTCAAATACGCACACTCATAGTCAACATCACTCCTTCTGAAATCTTTCTTTCAATGATTCCGGATACATACAATAATATACACTATTACATGGCAAGTCTGTTACTGACTTAAGCCACTGTCATGTGACCAAGAATTTGTCACAACTGATGACTTAGATTTGAGATTCTGTTGTATCAACACAATTGCAATAATTTCTTTTCAACTAATACTGATTGATAAAGTCAACACACATTGATTGTTTGTAAAATGACAAAATAGAGAACCTGCATATTTTGAAAGTGGCAGCAACTTGATGAGTTTCATTGGCTGTAATTGCAGGATATCGTCTCTATCAATAATATAAAGATTGATGTTAATCTTATTATTTTGACCTTAAGATTTAAGAAGTTGTGTGTGAATGATGTTCCTATTTCCTGGAGTTGCATGTTAGTTTAAGATCCATGTTGTTTCACAAGACTGCCTGCTATGACAAGGCGCTGTATTTCACTGGTGCCTTCATATATCTCTGTAATCCTTGCATCTCGATAGTGTCGCTCAGCTGGCATATCGGTCACATACCCCATACCTCCTAGCACCTGGATGCTCTGTAACACAGCACATAGGACAGAGGGAGTGATTCAACTGAGTTTTGATCAATCACAGCAGGAAAGGTACAATATTAGACTATAGATATGTAATCTTCAATATACCAGAATTCTGGAAAACAACAATCCAGAAATCTAGAAAAATAACAGAATTTGTATATATACAGTTGCTTAAGTGATCTGATGAAGCCTGTTAAAGGCGCTAGAAACTTTGATGATAAATTAATATCAAATGAAAATAATCTTGAAGTTTGTGATAAATGGCAATCAATTTTTCACTGTGATTTTAATTGGAAAACGATATTTACGGTTTATAGATGTAAACTGAAGGATGTAAAACTCTTAGATTTTCAGTACAGATTTCTACATGGAATTATCTACACAAAGAAGGAAACAGTGTTTGTAGCTTTTGTAATGTTGTCAATGAGGACATCAGCCATGTCTTTTGGGAATCTAATGAAACTAAACCGAAATTAGATATACTTTTAAAACTATTTAAAAACGTATACTCAATCGAGAAATTTATTGCTATAAAATAGGATGACAAAAATAACTTTAACAAAAAAAATGGTCACCTTTATTCTCAGTATTTGATTCTTAGCTCTCTGTTGATACATGCCATGTTTGAGTCTGTGTGTTGTAACCGTTTTGGGTTTGAAATGGGACAATGTTTGTTTCTAACCCTTTAATTGTGTATTGTGCCATTCTATGCTATCCGAAATATGTTTTTAAATGGAATATTGTATTAATCTCCAACTCTGGGGACAATATAAAAAATAAAATATAAAAAAATCTCAGTAGGAAGGGTTTGTTTGTAGTATAACTCCACATTCAGCAATTTTGTAGCTTTATGACGGTGGCCAGTAAATAATCAACTCTAGACGAGACAAACCAGTGATTGATATTCTGAGCAATGCCTAATTCCATCAGGGTACGATGACATGCAATGAACCTGGTCGCGAAGCCTAACCTGTTAAATGTCCTTTTTGGCCCTTTCCACTGTTAGTCCTTCTCTCACTCAACACACCACTGACAATTCATGTCAAATCCCCGCCACGCTACTTCCTATTGTATTTTCCCATCTAACACCTGAGCTTCCGCTCACGCATGTGCACTCGTAGTCAAGTTCAGAGGTCACTTCCAGTACACTCGAATGTAAATATACCACACAATGTAGTTAGGACTGACATGTTATCATAACCAGCCAGGTCTTGCATGGGTTGCCGCCTGAAACCTATTCTGCCCTTGTACAGTGTACATTTGATTATAAAGTTCATACTACAAGGGTAAACAATAACATAACCCAAAATAGAGCCATTCTTGAAAATATACTAAAGGCTGTGAAAAAAGGGTAGTAGTATAGATGATGGGGGTTCTGGCTCACTTCCACTAGAGCCAGATTTATATACCTATACCACCACTACAGAGGGAATTTTTTATGTCAAAATGACAATGTGATTTAACAATCGTCATGATATCATATTAAAAGAATCATCAATATTAATTAATAATGAATCAAATTTATTATAGCCCACGAGGATATCGGAAAGGTTTAGGAGCAATACAAAAATTAGCCACCGCGGCTAAGGTATCTAAAGATGTGGCCAAGGATTGGTTAAAGAAACAAGCGATGTGGCAAATATACTTACCAGCACCACGTTATATACCGAGGAAGAAGTTTGATATTTTTACAACGAATGAAGTTCACCAGGCTGATCTCTTGATTCTTCCCCATGATAAGGTAAGACGCAAAACATATAAATACGCTTTAACCGTAGTGGATGTGGCTAGTCGATACAAAGAGGCTGAGCCCTTAACCTTGAAAGATTCAACAGAAGAAGCTAATGCACTGACCCTCATATATAAACGCAGACCACTAAAATGGCCTAAGCTATTTCAAGTAGATCCTGGTTGCGAGTTGATGGGATCGGTAACTAAACTATTAACAAAGCACAATGTTGAAATCAGGCGTGGTGAAAAAGAGGCCCACATTAGTCAAGCTATCATTGAAAGATTTAACCAGACATTAGCGGAACGTTTGTTTGGCTATCAGTATGGGGTTCAAAAGAAATCTGAGCGATTAAAATCAACCAAATGGGTGACACGATTATCAGCTGTTGTATCAGTGCTGAATAATGAAGTAACGAGATTAATCGGGAAGAAACCATCCAATACGATTAAAATGAAATCTGTGAATTCCGAATCTTCAGCACCGAGGAGAGGCAAAGAACAAAAACTTCCAGATAGAGTAAGCGTAAGATATTTATACCAGCCCGGTGAACTGGAAGGAGGCCTACGTCGCGCAACCGATCCGATTTGGTCCCTTAACCCTTTCGCCCCGACTGCCCGATTTATCGGGCACGATAAACCGTGTCCCAGAACCCGGCTGCCCGAAAAATCGGGCAGCATAAGCCGTGGCCCAGAACCCGGCTGCCTGATAAATCGGGCGGCGCAAGCGTGTTTACAAAATCGCTCTTTCTACTTCCTTTCTCGTGTGTAATCTCGTTCTAAATATGGAAACGAGATCTACACTATTGACACGTCATTCGATGGAATTTCCCCGTCTTTTTGGCGCGAAAATCGCGGGTATGTCACCTGTTTTCGCGACAGGTATTTTTCTCGCTTGAATCGTAAATCAAGCGTAATGGCGGCCAACTACGATTCGGATAGCGATCAGATGATTAACAACGACTCTATCGGGAATAATAATGTGGTTGAATTGAATAATTTACGAGAAGGGGAGAGGGAATTTCGCGAATATTTTGGTGAAGATTTTGACGGTTTCGACGAGGTGTCCCCCCCCGCCAACTTTCAAGAATGGGAGTGGCAGAGGGACCACAATAGTGGAGACATGAGGGATTTTGAAGATTTTGAAGAGGACTCAAGAATATATATTGACACGGTGAGTGAAGAGTCGTGCTATTGATTTTTTTCCAACTGTTTTACAATGATTCTGTGTTTGAACATATTATCAGTGCGACGAATGAGAATCTAGCCACCGACACGTGAACGAGCGATCACAACAACAACAAAGGTGAGTGGCATGACGTATCTGTTATTTTTTTTTTAATTTATTTTTCTGATCGCAATCCGAATTGTAGTTTGCCGGTTTGTCGTATGTCCTTATATTTCGCTCAATTTGAATAAAATTTATTTCCATATTCATGTTTGTTTTCTTGTTTTTTACATCTTAATTTAAATTTTAGTAACTGTAATGATTATTTATTTATTAATTGATTTAATAAAGTACTGATTTAATTTATTATGCAATTGTAAATAGCAGTGTATTGTAAATATGTTATCACAACTTGTATATTTGCAGAACTTGAATTTACGATCTTTCCGTCCTTTTACAATCTTTCCCTCTTCAGATCAATCTGTGTTATCTTCCCTGTGATGTCATTCTTATAGTAGCTGTGGTTCAATGTTCAGATAATGTGATAAATAACTTTTTAAAAACTTAAATACTTAATTTTTGTTTCAAATCCTGAAAAAGAACAAAATAAATCAAATATTTGTGTTTTTACCTGTGTTAACGAGTTTACCTGCGTTAACAAGTTTACCTGTGTGAACGAGTTTACCTAAGAGGCTGTAAGTGTATCATAAGTAATATGTGACATCAGTATAAAAAACAAAGTCAGTACCAAGAGTTGTAAACTTGTTTATTTGTTTACAGATGTGCATGAAGAGAATTTACCTGTAACACCTGGGATTACCTGTGCCGTCCAAGATGACAAGACCACTGTGTTATGTTTACCTTGTATCTGTGATTTATTTTTGTGATTTGTAATACAATTTGAGCCAAAATTCATTGTCTGTTTTCATTTTTTCAGTGTTTTCAAGTTTTATTTCACTTGTAAACACCTGTAATTAGAAAATAACAAAGGTTAGAGACAATAACAACAAAGAATATTAAAGTATACTTAATCCTCTTTACAATGGTATATGATAAATGTATATTAAAAGCAAGTTTCTGGTAGAAAAAGTGCATAAAAAATGATAGGGTCAGTGTCAGGGACTGCAGGGTTTCAAGGGACATAACTCTGGGGCAGCCAGTGATGAAAGAGTTAAGATATATAACATTAGTCGATTGGTTACAAAAGAAGGAGAGCCTATTCTTTATTATCTTAAAGATGGACCGGGTAGGGCATTTGTACGGGAAGAGTTGCTCATAGTTCCCAACGATACAGTATTACCGCCCTCAGTAACCATAAGCATAGGTAGTTACACCATCCTTATCAATCCATCTCTTTGTATCTAAGGGGGATAATGATGTCTTGTTCATTCTTAATCCATATATCCTATGATTGTAACTTCTTAAAGAGTTCATCTCATGTTTGAATGTTCTACCGTTGAATAATGCTTTTTTACCACATACTTCTTAACACCCTTAGTTTTTCTTATCTCTCCATTATCGGACTTCTTTATAGAATACATCTTAGGTCTTAATCCGACATACTCCACTATAGGAGTCCCAGCACATTCATCCTTCATCTTACCTAACACCTTTTTATTTACTACGCTGTGCAGTGGATTATCTTTTGGGTAATCGCTCGTGTCGTACATATCTTTTTTTTCTGCCATATCTTTATACACATCCTCGGTTTGTATTTCCATCAACAAAGAATCTGTGTCGGTATATAACACCTCGCATCTATCGCCGTATTGCTTCTTAAGTTTGTTGTAATAAAAGTCATACATTAAGTGTTTTGACAAGTCAAGAATATTCATACCAACGTACACCGGTCTATTGAATTTTATATTACTCTTCTGCATATGCAACGCGGCTAAGTCGTTATCGAATATCTTGCTTCTGTTAAAAGCCGGACTGGCTATAAGTTTCCTGAGTCTTTCTTCCTCATTAGACCTAACTAATTTAACATCAACATGCTTCCTCAGATTCTCCATAGTTTTACCAAATACTGAGTTATTCATGAGCTTATATAGATTCTTTTCGAAATCGCTGGTAGCTATCTTTCTTAAATCTGTGTTCAGCCTTA